GAGATCCTCTCACAGATTCTTAGCAGTGATTCCGAGTTAATATTTGTTGCACTAGATGCTTTCGCTCTCAAAAGCCTCACCACTGGTGTCAGTTTTCAGTGTTTTACGATAAGAGGTGCACAAGTGACAGAGTGAAATTCCCATGAAATCATTCGATATGCTGCACAGATTTTTCCAGTTATCATGTGGGCTTATAGGACACTTCCTGTAATAATTCTGCAAGGTAAGCTATTCTGTTGGATTTTACTGGATGAACTGCAGTTAAATTCATGTAGTTGGTATAACTATATAAATCGCTCAACAGCCTTATTCCTTAGTTTCCTAACAAGCCTAACAGACGCGGTTTCTAACCTCGTTAGTTTAGCAATATAATTTTGAAAAACCTCGTTCTGTTTTTCTTGACTATTACTCAACATTCAGTTCCATCTCTCTATCACATTTGTGATAGGAACCGGCATCGTTTGAATGTTCCAGACATTTGTTAGCTTGGTTATGGCACTATTTTACTGATATAGCACTAACCACTAGACTCGGAAAGGCTTCATATAAACCCTGAGTCTCCCAGGGAGCTGTGCTATCTCCATACTTGTTCTCTTCGTAGTTTTGTGATACTCTTTGTATTTCTCCTGCAAGTGCTTTGAAATATGGAGATGGTGTTGCACTATACCAACCTATTTCTTATTCCTCCAATCTAAGCTCTTTCATCGACAATATCGCTCAATTTGAGTTATTCTCTTCCCAATCGGAGCTAGGCTTAAAATCTAACAATTTTTTTGAACGTTTATGTAGTTGTACACATTCATCACTCGAGAAAGACCACACACTGGTAAATAAAAATCCTCTCTTTAAGACAAACTCTGTAAAATGACTTGGTGTAACTATAGATATTAATCTTAGTTCGTCAACCTAGATCCACAGCTGCGTTGGTAGACTGAGACGCCTATAATTTCAAATTCGAAAACTCAAGCAGTTTCAGGCTTCCCATTTCGTTATTTCTACATTTGTATATCAGTATTTTCCTTATTTCACTTTACTGTCTCCCAGTTATTTTCCCTGGCTAACTTAAACAAGATTTAAGTCTTACGCCGCAGTCTACCTATTATTAGTCGAGGTTGCTCTATTTCTGTGAACGACTTAATTGTGAAACTTTCAACCTCGCATATAACTCTTTGTGTCCAACTTGTAAATAGGATTCTCGGACTGTAAACACCTATTGCACACAGAGCTGACTTCATTCTCGTCCCCCCCCCACAAGCTCTGAATTCCGACAGAAAGTGTAAAAAGGAGGTATCGCGTACGATTTAGAATTGAGAGTAAGAAACAGACAGAAGATGGAAAGGGTTTTCCAAATGGATACCTGAGACTTTAGGGCACGGCAGCCCATACATACCAAGGGGGTTATCTTTGGAAACCCTGATCCAGGCCTTGGACTCAACTGTGAGCTACAAGACAGTGGGCCGTCGATCCAACGCGCGAGCGTGACTGAAGCATCCGTATGGGAGCTTCTGGATCATGGACAACGAATCAAAATCGGTTTTACATTGGTTCACTTGGAGTTACTACTACGTTGTACCTTCAAATTTCAGTTTAGCTTCGTCGGAGAATTGTGTAAGTAAACGGACGGAGTTGCAACGGGATCGCCTCTGGGCCGCTTTTGGTTGACCTGTTTGTCGCAAAATTTTAAAACCAGGAACTTCGTGATACCAGAATAATTACCCTTCCATTGCCGTTATGTGGGCGATATTTTCGCAATACTTCACGAGAATACACCACTGGACACACTGAACAGCACTTATAACTGAGCTCACGGGGCGTTTAATTTTAAGACGGAAGTGCAAATGGCCAACGCATTGCACTTTTTATGTTAATCTTACCAAGCG